AAAAATTAACCATGCAGCCAGCTTGACTATTTAGAGTCGAGTTCCAATATTGAGTAATCTTTAATTACTTGGCCACTGGTGGGGTCAAATGTCTTACAGATCCATACCTAGTAGAAATAAGAAAAATGTCAAACTTATGCATTCAGCTATTGATCGATTTCTACTATTTTAATAGGCTTTCCAACTTGACCTGAAGCTTTGCTTAAAATGTCATCAATACAAACTTCCTGCAGGTACCTGACCCAATCTATTACTTTTTTGTTGGCCATATATAGCTGACCATATCGTTTTCATTAAAACACACATTTTTTAAAAGTAGAATCATATAACTTTGAACATAATCCACTGCTTGCAGTAGGTAAAAGGCAGATTCCAAATTTTAATCATTGTTTTCAAACAGAAAAGGGGTGGGAAACAGCAGTAACAGTTAATATATAAAAACAGTTCACAAAAACAAAATGTGGCTTATCGAGAATCAATCAGTATTGCATAAAATGAAAGTGCAGATGTTAACATTGATACATCAAGCTCATCCATATTTGACAATAGATTAATTATGTTGCAGTAAAGATTTAGGCATGAGACATGTCTAAATATGTAAAAATATGTAAAAACTGATGAGATGATTAAAAATAAGATGCAATATCAGCTGTATAAAATCTCCTTATCTATGCCCAAAAAATGACAACTTTACAAAAATCATCACAACAGTTGACAAATTATGAGTGTGGTTATGACCTTAAAATCAAAATTCAGTTTTTCTCGTAGATCTACAAACTCTCTGGCATGGCAAGAAACATGAAAAACTGAAAGTAGTGTGGAGACACTATACACCATTTACTTCAGTATCATTTCATGATGAGTATGTTCCACCTGGCCAGACAATAACTAAACAGTATGACCATACAGCATTGTGATGCTTGAAAAATGCTACTTGAAAATGGCCCACAAACTGCATGTGTTTAGTGAGCATCAATTCCAACCAATAAAGGCTCCACAGCAATATCTGGCTAAGCACATAATTCTTCAGCAACCAATACTTTTCTCAGATCTTGCCTTCTATAACGTCTTTTTTTCCTCTTTAGAAATCAAATTCTAAGTGAAAGAAAGATTTTAGATTGTTCAATGGAGAATGTGATAAAACAGGCATCTGCTAAATGAATTTTATTCTGATTTATCAAAATAATCAAGTTTTACATATGATTTTCTTTTAATGACTGCTGGCTCACAGTCCTTTAGGAAAAAGAAAAAAAGTGTGATCAATAACTAAATAAAAATTGACTTAATTGTATATAGTCTGATGGATTTATAACTGATTTTTAATCTAACAAACAAAATTTAGTTTTTTATACATAATAGAATTTATTTTAAGTATTATAATATTAGAAGAAACATGTTTAAACTAATCATCAATCTTGTGTTTACCTAGTAAAATTCTAGCTATTAAGCATTCAAGTAACTGGAATATTTCGAAAAATTCTCTCCTCCCCCCCAAAAAAATATTAAGTAAATGAGAGATTTGTAATGCCATTCTAGAGCTTGTTATACTTAACATACATATGTTGTTAACCCAATAATGGATAAGCATGATTTCAGAGAACAGTTATATGAACTCTGCCTTGGTTTTATGTAAACTAGATTTAATTTTCGATAAGACAATTTTTAATTCTTGTATAGAAGGATCAGTTTTTTCCTCATATTTTGAAAAACTGCTTTCTACAGGACAGCACATAGTTGGAGTATTTTCAATGTTACAGGATCCTGGCATCAAAAAATGGAACTATATGCAACTGTATTTGAACATGGATTTATACATAGCATTATTCTATGGTGATGCAATGGTGGTGGTATCTAATGGTGATGCAATGCGAAAAATTATAAGTGATTTAAGTGTTTTATATGCTATATCCATAATCTGTATCAAATTACTAACTAATTAATAGAGAACAATATGTTCCTTTAAACTTCTGCTGGAATGATTGCCAGAAATTCAGTGATTGATGACTCCAACCAACTTCTATGTTTGGGGGGATTTTATAATCAGAAAAGAAGTCTTACTATTATTATATTTAAGGCTTACAAAATACGTCTGCAATGATTTTGTTTTCAAAATTTTACTAATTTCAAATACAGTCAAAAGTCTTTAATCCGGACTCGTCGAGACTTCGGCGATTCTGGATTATAGATCATCAGTCTAAATCTGGTAAGATGGCATACAGAAATTATAAAATTAAAATATAAAACCGTATTATAAATAATGAGCACTTATGATCTAAAGGGTATCAAAATGTACAAAAAAGAAGCTTAATATTTATTTGTTTACTTTATTAAACATTTCTTTCAACGCGCGCATGCGTAAAGCATACATTACGCATAGCCGGAATTAGAAAATTGCAACCAGAAAACTACTTGATTTGTATTCGTGATATTTATAATAACGAGGAATTTGATTTAAATCATATCAAAGACTGAGTACATCGAGATAAAATACTACATTTAGTAAGCAATTATAAGCCGAATAAAATAAAAACATCTGCTCTGAAGATAATGATAGTGCTGACAGATCAACATCCAGTTCATTGCGCGCCGCGACGTCCCCCCCCCTCCGCGCAGAGCAGCGTGAATTGATAAACAGATTTCAGAACGGTTAGATAAACGAATGGATATGTCTTTATCCATTTTTTGTTTGATGGACATCGAAACATACTTTCGTTTTGTAGATCCTTTGGGAGCTCCAGCATTGGAAATTCTATTTGACATAATCGAAAGTTTCAGCTTACTTTTATAAAATTGCTCTTAGAGTCTGCAAAAAATAATAAGCGGATCCAATTCAAAGATTAAGGAACAACGCAATCATCACATTAACTGAAATAGATAATTAGATAATTTTAGCTTATACCGTCCGTTATACATTAAACGCGCACGCGAAAACGTATTATGAACTTGCGCAGACGCATATGCGCAGTCGTAAAGGTCTTAGGCACACGCGTAAACAACTATGCGCATGCGTCAACGCAGCGCATGCGCCGAAAGATTTTAGCTTTGAGGTCCGGATTATGGGTGTCCGAATTAACGACTTTTGACTGTATATGCTTTTGAATCTAAGTTAAGTAACAAATAAGATGACTATTTTTTCATTTTAGAAGTTCTGTATCTCCCGTTCTATAGGTCTGATTGACGAAATTTAAATTGCGTTTTACATGTCTTAAACGTGTGACTTAGGATATAGATTAGATTTATATATAGCATTATTCTAACATATTTTGACATGAAATTGGACTTTTTCTGAAATAACATATCAATTTTTTCCATATTTCGATTCTATCACTCAAATTATGCTAAATATTAAATTTTGTAATTTTTGGTGAGAAATGTATGGAAAAATTTAAAAATTTATCTTTGTGAATTTTTTCAGTTTGCGCCAAGAATAATTGACTTGGCGGAATTCTTAATTTATAGTAACCTACTTTAATTTTTCCCCCACAAAAGGAAAAATGGTCTATCATTTCATCCACCAAAAATGGTCCTTATTCATTCTTTAAAATAATTTTAACGAAAGGCATAAATTCACATTTTCATTATTATCACTTATATTTAATACGACAAATTTCAAAATGTGCCAAAATGTAAATTCACATATATCTTAAAAAATTTCGAATAAAAAACTCTATTTTTTTGCAGATATTCTTAGTAAGATGTATGAAAATTTTATAGGTTATAATATAAATTTTCAAAAAAATTATAAAATATTTTAAAATACAAATTTTTAAAATACATAAAAGAATGTGCGAATTATATTTGGATTAAGCCTAAATTTTGAATTCAGGAAGCATTAATCAATTAAGTTTAATTAACAAAAAGAAATATTAATAAATAGTATATATCGAATTCAATTAACATTAAGGAACTAAAATTTTTAGATATGATTTTTTAAAAAGTATTCATGCAATTTTTACAAAACTTGGCACCATTTGAGTCATAGAAACGAAATATGGAAAATTTGACATGTCATTTCAGAAAAAGGTCCGATTTTGTGTCTAAATACCTATATTAAAACAATGCTCTCTCTCTCTCTATATATAATACATATCTTAAGTCGTGCTTTCGAGACATGAAACACGCAAGTTGAATTTCGTCAATCGGCCCAGTAGAATGGAAGATAGAGAACTGTCCCCCCCTTTTTTTACAGTGTACCTATGGGAGAAGAATGCTTCCATGGAGGACTTTCTAAATTTAACTAGCCCATATTCAAGTGAAACAAGTGGAAAGTCTTAACTTCTGGTATTCAGTAGTCGTAACTGCTCAGCCACTGGCATGGCACAGATTATGGAGAAGTGAACTACACATTGATAAATTTGTTTCAAATATAATCAGAGTAAAATACATAACACAAGAAAAACAAAGATTACAATTATGTTAAATGCTCTCCTAAGATGAGCAATTTTTATTTATAAATTATTATTTCAAACAAAATTTTCATTAACTGAAAGAATTGAACAGTCTGGTATTCCTCTCCCCTCATTATTTGCAAAAAGAGATTTCTCCTGACATTTTAAAAAAAAGTTTACACTATCACTGACTTTCCATGACCATTTTTAACTTCTATGATTTTCCAGGCAAGTGGAAACCTAAATTACAAAAATCTTAATAACTAGTGTAACCTTAATACAAAATTATCTTACAAACAAATATTCATTTTTAATATTAAGATCCCTAGGTTTTGGTTTACAGAAAATATCAAAAATTTCTAGTTTGCCTTAGTACATATTTGTATTTTTATATGATTTTGACACTTATGAGCACAAAAAAAAAAAAAAAAAAAAAAAAAAAAAAAAAAAAAAATTAATGAGTCTATAGTACAGTTTTGTCACTTCTGTGCAGCAATAAAGTTAACAAATCTTTAATATCAGTTTTCATATGAAACTAACATTAACATTTCAGGCTGTTTTTAACTGCTTATGGATAAAATTACTTATCATTCAAACTATTAGCAATCTTACCTCCAAAGGGTTCACTTCCATTCAAGCATTCAATCATCCAATCAATATCACCAACAAGATCCATTCTGCAATAAAAATTAACACAAATTAATATATAGACATTTGCATAGTATCTAAATGACACTGAGATGGGGGTTTTGGAAGAAATAAACAGGATAAGATGTTACAGTCACTAGGAAATGGGCATTTTTTAAATATTTATTAACTAAACATAGAATAATTTATAGAATATAATTAAGTAATTTTAATCATTTTCTTTAGTCTTTCAACAATAAATATGAAAACAGAATGTTAAATATAATATTCAGATTTTCAAGAATTTAAAAAATGTATAAAATAAGGATCAACATCTAAACATAAATCAGTAACTGAAAATAAAATTTAAAATAAAAGGTTACAAAAACGAACTCTAAAAACTATGTTTAAAACTATAACATTAAAGAAATAACGATCTTAACAAAATTAAATTAACATATATTATAATATAAACTTAGAGTTTTCTTTAATTAGCTCAATTTATTTATGATTTTGAGAGAAAGGGACACTATTTTTAAATGGAGATATACTTGCTTTGTTGGTAGTAATAATTTGCAATTTTAAAATGATTTGGAATTTGTGATCAATAGAGGAAAATGCTATGTAAAATATTTTAATACAGAAAAAGAGAGCATTCAAAGGCAGTACAGAAATACAGATAACGTGTTTATCAAATAAACAATACTATGCAACATATCTTACTGAATGGAGGAATATATTGTAATTACATTAATCAACAATTCCCTTCCTTGAACTCACTTGCAATTATGTTTTTTATCTTTTATAAAAGAATTCAATATCTTTATATTATGTCGACTGTGAAAATTGACTATCGATGAACCATGAAAGTTGCCAGAGATCCCATCAAAGTAGTGCCAATTGTTCCTATGGATTTCTGATGGAACTTAGGCCTCTTTATTTAATAAATAATCACATTTTATTTACTTATATAATTGATAAAACAGATTACAATTTTTAATTTTACTGGATTAACAACCTCTGATTTTACCAGAAGCTTTATAATCCTAAGAGTAAAAACTTATTGCAGGTAATTGTTCTAATCTATTACTGTTTTGTTGACCATATTCAGCTATTCTTTCCCCAATTTAACAGATATTAATTTTCTCAACTAGCTATAACTGAATCCAGGGTTTGTAGACACTTATTCATGGAAAATTAAGTACCATAAATGAAACAATTAAGGACCTATCAAGCAAATCAGAACTGAATAAAAACAAATATCTTCACTTTTGTAGAACCACTTTTTTAGTCATTTGTAAGAATATAATAAATCTGTAAATAGGTTACATTATTATTATACATAATTTAATATTTAACTTAATTTTATCAAGTAATTAGCATTAAATTATAAAATTTCTTAAAACATTTATGTTTTAGACTTGTCCCACAGCTTTTAAAAAAGATCGGCTTATCATTTAAATTTTACTAACAGTTAGCTTTATAGTGATGCTTTTCTTTTATGCTTCATTTTGTCACATAGTCGCTCAGTCCAGAGATATATGCAAATTTCATGTCAAGTGGCATAAGTCAAACTGTGGTGTGGTGTATTTAATTATGGCAAAGAACACTAGGGCTATCTGCCTAAAGGGAGGGATGCCTTCGTGGAGGACTTTCTAAGGGAAACTGGCTCGTATACACGTTACACATGGGGAAAACCACGAAAACGCCCATGCAGCCAGCCCATTTGCGGGATTCGAACATCAGACTGAACTACCAGTGTTCAGCGACTTTACCGCTCGGCTGCTGGTGGGCAAGTGAAACTGTGAAATAAAATAATAATAAGCAAGACTCATACCAGAAGCTTGGCTGTTGCCACAACAGCTGCTTGCTTAAACAGAGATTGGAACAGACGTGAACACCTGACGTTGGTATACTTGCAAGTGTCAAAAGTTAGCTGCACTTTATCTAACCGAATTAGTGTCATAGATTTGTGCAGATTTACTAGAGTTATAACCCAGTTAATATACAATATTTAATATAAAGCTTCAATAAGCCGTTGAAGCACCAGAGATGATAGGTTGTTTTGTATTATTTTAAGTCTCATTAGCTGTAATCAAGTTTTACATTAATTTTTGCATTTTTGTGTTGCATCTTGCATTCACAATAAGGATTTAGGAAAGGAGATAGCTCGTCTTAACATGTAGAGATAACATCTAAGAGAGAGTAGCTGGCTTCAAATAATTAAATTATGTAGTTGGATACCCTTGCTCATACTATATTTACATGGTTACAATTACATTTTTTTTTAATTTCTAAAAAATATTCATTAAAAAAGCACTAAGAACATTTTATAGCAGATATAATTTATGATATTGATTCTAAAATGATGTTGCTATAACTAAATTTTAAATCCTGCCTTTAGGCCTTCCAAGGTGTAAAGTCTAAAATCCAAAAGAAAAATTATTCCTACCAAATTTGTAAGAGGTAAAAGGCAGAAGATTTTTGGGGGTTAGAATCAGAAAAGAGAAGTGTAAACTGAATTTTCAAGAGAAAACAGATACACATTTAAATATTCTGAAACAATTACATGGGAAATAATAGAAAAAATATAAAAGAAAAATGAAATTTTATTTTAAATAATTACAGTAGCATTCTTGTTTTTTCTAAGAAGTGTTGCGGAAACAGTGTTTTATAGCATTTATTATCTTGTTTATTTTTCAGAATCAAAATATTCCTAAATCATGGAAAGTAAATACTTTAAAATACCGCAGGAGAAAATAACAATATTTTATTTTAATGTTATTTTTTAAATATAATTTTAATATATTATCATTATTTTTATGACATTAATCAATGTTGTTATGTCTGTAAGAAAAAAAGTCAAAATTTCGTAAATCTCCAAATAAAAAATTTTGTACACAAACTGATCTTGAAATCACCAAAATCTTGATAGGTTAAAAAATTCAGCACCGCATAATTTAAAAACTATTCAAATGCTAACCCATCAAATACATATTTGTCAAAGAAGCACCACAAAATATTCCTCCAAAATGTTAATTCACACTTAAGTGTGGGAGTCATGAAAAAACAAACAAATGTCAGACGAGTTTTTTTAAATAAGTATTTTTTGCCAAATTGAGGTTTTTCAAAAAAAAAAAAAAAAAAAAAAATAGGATTTTTAAGTACTTTTAATGATCATATGAACCCTGTGAATCTGAGTGCAGTCACAAATGTGATTCTATAGCTCTTAAACCACATTCCTTTTCAAATGGATATTCTCTTGTCACAATTTTTCATATTTATCACCATTTCTTTATCAGTTTTCAATGAAGTACCACATTGCATTCATTATTACCCACTTTTTTTATAGTAGGATCCCATAACTTCGAAAATACTCTACTACTTGCTGTTATGCAGAAAGCAGGTCCCCAATTTAAATATATATTGATCTAAAATAAGGGAATTAGAGTTCACATTTAAATTAAAATAAGTCATTATCCTTAAGTTTTAGTTCTTTGACGTATTCCACATCATCCATATTAGATGACATTACTTCACAACGATTAGTCAAAAACCTCTCCCAGTCAAGAAAGTTGGTCCACACCACCATAAATCATTATGAAGATCTTTGGGTTCAGCTCCACGTTGATGTCAAATCAGCTGGCATTATATTGTGAGTGCTAACATAATACCACTCATGAACAGCAGTCATGCTTGCGAATAACAGATACTCTATTAGCAACAAATGTCTTTAGATGATAAGGTTCCTTCTTAATCCATGCTAACACTATTGACGAATCTGTGAAGTAATACACCTTCACTATAGGCATCTGAATGGCTTCTAATATTCTTTTTCATTAGTTTTACCAACAGAACTGCACCATAAAGTTCCAAACGAGTGTAATACGGTAATTGACTTCAGAGGTGACACACGAGACTTGCTGCACAGAAGTCTTGACGAAAATTCATTCGAAGATAACATACATTTCACATAAATTGCAGTACCATAGGCTTTCTGACTAGTATCACAGAATCCTATAATTTCTATTTGTTGTAATCCATTGGTTAGAACAAATCTGGGATGCGATAATCGTTGACTATTTTTAGACTATGCAGAAATTCCTTCCATTCTTCAAAGTAATTTTTAGGAAGAGGTGTATTCCAATTTAATTTTAGAAGCCAAAGTTTTTGTAGAAATATTTTAGCTTTTGTCATAAGAGGTCCAATTAAACCTAACGGATCAAAGAGGGACCTATTGTTGATAAGACATTTCTTTTCGTTCCTGTTTCTTCAATGTCAAGTATCTTTAAATTGTAAGAAAAACAGTCTGTAGACGTATTCCATGACATTCCTAAGGCCTTTGTAATTTGAGGCTTATCCGTAACTTGAAAGGAAGTAATCCTGAGTTGCACTTTCTTTATTCTTCAATAATTCTGCATTATTTGAACACCATTTGTGTAACTGCATTCCACCATGTTCTAGAAGACAGGTTAACTGTGTCTGCAACTCCTTGGCTTCTTGCAGCATATTAGCTCCAGTGATAATGTCGTCCACGTAACAGTCCTTCAGTATGGCTCTTGAGGCATGAGGAAAGTCTGTCGCTTCATCCATTGCTAACTGCTTCAGGACCCTTGTTGCAAGGAATGGTGCACTTGCTGTAATCCGTATGGTTAGAACAAGTCCTTAGATGGTAAGTCTGCACAGGACTACCAACGTTGACTCCTTTCCACAAGATCAACTGCAGAAATTCCGTTTGAGATGGTTCGGAATAAGTATTCTGTCGGTGAGTAATTCTTCTAGGAACATCAGGCTCCTATTCCATAGTTGTAATTTTCGAAGCCGAAGGTTAATAATAGAAATATTAATCGCTTCTTGTCGGTATTCGCCCTTTCATTAATATTGAAGTTCAGTGATTTTCCATCGCTAGTAGCCTGCTGATGCATTAAACAACAACGAGAAGCTTGGTAGAGGCTTTCCTCTGGCCGATGAACTCCATGATGACTAAGATAATTGCAAGTCGATGTTTAAATTTCTTGAACTTCTTCCATGTGATTTAGATCCTTATATTCCTTAATAAAATTCTTATATAATGTTTTCATATTCTAATCACTTTCTAGTTGATTCCACACTTG